GAACCCATCTAACCACCATGAAGTGAGGAAGTCTAGACCATGTAGTGAGTCCATACGAAGAGTCCAACTGACAGGTTCTACTAAGACTCTTGCTGGCAGCCAATATCAACCTGGATGTGGGCACAAACAAGCCTTCCCATCAGAGCTATCCACAGAATGCCATCTAATCATGAAAATGGCCTGAGTCTACCCTATCCAATATGGCAACACACCACCAGGAGGTTATAATTATAATACACCTAGTGTGAATGAGAAGGTGAAGTTTCAATTTTATTTAATGTTAATTTAAATAACCATATGTGTCTGTCTAACAGTTGCCCCCTTGAACAATTTAGCTTTAGAGGGTTATTACCATGGGTGACGGGTTCCTCTTGGATGGTTTCCCAGGTTCTTGTACGTGATGAACAAAGAATCGGATATGGCACACAATGGTAAGGAAAAAGCAGTAAAGTTTTAATCAGGCAAAGGTATGCACAGAGTAAGCAGGCTCGTGCTGGTGGAAAGGAAAATGGTATGAATACTGAATACTTTGAACTTAAGAATTAAAAATGTTGCCAGGTGTGGTGGTGCATGCCTATAATCCCAGCACTCAGGAGGCTGAGACAGGAGGATTGCCACAAGTTCAAGGGCAGCCTAGGTGGGCTACATAGTGAGTTCAAGGATAGCCTAAATTACATAGTAAAACCTTCTCTCAGAAATGAAAATAAATTAAAAATGTTGTGTGGGGTCTAAGATGCCTCTCACTGGGGCTTCCAGAGCATGACTGACAATGAGATCGATAGAGTACTGAGTCCTGTCAGTTGTGTCTACTGCACATGACCTTTCCCATAATCCACTCTGTTATAATGGGATGTCTGAGGTGCAACCCATATGCACACATCTTTAATGAATTCCAAGTGAAGAAAGGTTACTTTGGGTCACGCCAGTAGGTCTGGTACTCAGTTTGGGATTTCAAAATCTTCTAAGGTGGGCCCAGGGGGTCTTTGCTTTTTATCTTTGCCTCTGGGAAGTGTGGTTTGTAGGAAAAGGGTGTGTGTGTGTGTGTGTGTGTGTGTGTGTGTGTGTGTGTGTATTGGCCTTGGGCGTTGGGCAGGTTGGGGGAGTGGAGTGGCCCCATAGCCCCAGTTGGAGTAACTAGAGTAGGGTTGAAGCCCTCAGCCTCTGACTCTCTCAGCTGAAGCACCAGCTATCACAGAGCAGAAACACCCTTGAATTATGACAAGTAATACATAATGATTGTCAGTTATTGATTGTCAAAGCAATCAATAATAAATGCGTTTTTGTTTTTGTTTTTTGTTCTTCTCTCCAATAAACAGAAAGGCACAAGTGCCCTCCTTTTTAAGGTGCTGGGCACTGAACTCAGGACCTGCTGGCATGACCCCAAGAAACCTTTCTTCTCTTGGAATTCATGAAGGGTGTGTGCCTATGGGCTGCATCTCATACATCCCTCTACCAGGGAGCTCTGCCGCAGCCCTGCTGCCCTCTTTTGAAAAGCTGTCTAGCAGTGCTTAGCTGCTTCCTCCTCGGCAGGCCGCTTGAGCGGCCGGCAGTCTACACTCATCTTCCATCCTCGAAGCTGAGTCACTGCTCAGCACCCGTTACTCTGGTCATAAATGAGGTCACAGGAACATTAGTGCAGGCTGATTTCTCCCACTTGGAAAATGTTGGATTTCAGCACCCCACCCTGTCCTCGTGTTCTCCTCTAGCTATTTCTAAGGCAAATCTGTTCTGGCAGAAAAAAGGCACCCATTCCTGGCTGGGAAATTGCAAATATCAACCAGTGAAACAGAAAAAGAAATCCTCCTTCTATTCTGAGTAGATGAGAAAAAGACACCCTTTAAAAAAAGGAAAAGAGAAAAGAAATGTCTCCAAGGCGCTGATGTTCTCGGGCAAGGTCTGCGGCAGGGCACGGGTGCCCGCCCGCATCTGGCGGCCTCATGCAGGGCACCAGCAGAGCACACACAGCAGCCGTGCTTCTGCGCTGCTCTGAGCTTTGTCCCAGGTCTCGATCCACTACATCTTACGTGGTGCTCTGGGGTCCTTGTGAGTGTACGAAGCCTGTTAAACCCTGGGGTATGGATGCTCTTTCCAGCCCCATGTTCTCCCTAGACTTCAGAGCCCTGGGAACCTTACCAGGGATCTGCTGTCCCGCCCTTTCCTGCCCCTAAGCGTTGCCACATTACTCAGTGAATGTAGAGAAGGGCTGTCAGCTCCGCCCTGCAGTATAAAGGCCACCAAGCAGACAGCTCTGTGGACTGAAGTCTTTGTCATCTCCTCTGTAGCGGCCCACAGCAATGACAGGGTCTGACTAGGCCATGGAACCATGCAGCCCTCCCCACGAACACCAGCTTCTTATCTCTTTAGACCTTCCGCAGCAGGGCATGCAGTCCCCTCCCTCTCTCCCCGGAACCAGCCTTCCCACAAGTCCTCCAGTGTCATCTAGGGATCCAAAGGAGCTTCATGACAGCAAAGTAAGTCAAACTCTCAAACGCTGTTTACCCGGATTAGCCAGACAACTGGGTGGAGTGTGGCTTAGGGTGTCAGTTTCCTAAAATGGACTACTTCTATGACAAAAGGGAGGAAATATTTCCACATATCAGGTCTCCGGAAGTAGGATAAATTACTTTCTTTCTCCAGTGGGAAATCACATGTTTATCCCTCAAGAGGCTGAGCAAATGCCTGACTTGATCTGAAATGCTGTTTTTTGTAGTCTCAAAAGAGCTGACACACAGCAAACCATGTTGTGTTCAAAGATAGCCAAAGAATGCCCAAGATCCCCATTGGGATTTTGCTATTTGATGTTCACGTTGTGGATACATCAACCTATGGTAGATCCTAGTTCAAGGAAGAAAGGGCCAATTTCCAATGAGGGTTTCACTTATTTGGAAAATCCCGATGTACTACTAATGATAATAACTGAAACCACATTTCCCAATTCTGTCTCTTTGTCTCACACACACACACACACACACACAGACACACACAGACACACACACTCCCTGCTAATCACCTTAGAACACTAAATAAACAGATTTGTTGTTAATTAGGTAATAAACTTTTATAATTTTAGTATTAGACTAAGGTTTTGCAAGAGAAAAGACAATACTGTTTTTCCCAAGATGACTTCTTAGATCACTGTCAAAATATTGTCTAATAGAGAAAAAATTGCAGGAATGATTCAACTTCTCATGTATTTAACGTTTTTCTTTTTCAGCCTTAACTATACAAGTCCCCAAAATCTTGTGAAGTAGATCAGTTTCCTTCCTAATCTGAATAAACTATCCTCAAAAATGTTACAGATGTTTACTAAAATTCAAGAAAATATACTTTAAGGATGACTTGAATTTAAAATAAAATGTGTGCTTGGTTTTCTGTAGGTCTTCTGATATAAACGTGGCATTGCAAAAAATTATATTTGGATGATTAATTTTGTTATCTCAAGCAGTTAGCTAGTTATGTATAATTATTAATTCTGTAAATAGGGTATTATGTTGTAGAACAAAGCTAGAAGGGATTCCCTTTGCTGATTTTCCCCCTTGAGATACATGGGTGTGGCTTATTTTCTTTTCTGATCAGACCAAAGATAAATAGAAAAATCTTCCTTACAACTAAAATTCCTTGTTCTTAACAACAAGGTTAAGGGGGAGGGACATGAGAGCAGCAGATATAGCCTAGCTTAATTGTTTACTTATATTACTACATACACTGGATTTAGCACAAGTAAAGGTACAGAACAGGCATATACCCTTATTTACTTAAACTAGTGGCTCCTGAACATTGTAATGACTGCAGGTGTATTAAAAATATGAAAGTAGAAGAAAAACAGTAAGCAGTTATGAAACAATATTTCTGGTTTTTTAATTAAAGGATGGCACAGCCTCACAGTAATACACCATGCACAGTTTAAAATCAAACAAAGATTGCTTACCAGTAGTTATTTACTTTGCATTTGTCTGATTTAGGAAGTGAGAAAAAAAAGCCAACTCTATTGACACTCAAGTTTAGTTTCAATTAAAATCCCCATAAATTAGAAAATGTCTCATACAACGGTGATAAAAAAGTGCTATTTGGAAAACTTAGGTAAGTATGCTTATTTCCTGCAACACCTCAGATTGTGTGCTCAGTCTTGTAAGGACACTTCATGAAATAATTTGAAGCCTGTGTTCATGTTTTGGACAGGGCTCAGCTGTGTCTTGTCCTTTAATGCAAATAGGAGGAAAAATATATATATGCGCTTAGTCTCGAGCACTGAAAACATTCCCTGTCTTGATTCCACCATTTGCTCATGTCCCACACGAATAAAAGGACACAGCGCAGGAACCAGGGCCTTTCTGCCATTGTCTTTTCTAATTAAAATTCCAAGTATTAAACACAGTTGACTACGTCCATGCATCCGTGACATGCCATCACCACACGCCGGAAACCCAGATCAGGAGCGCTAGGCAAGGGCTCACTCGTAGCATCATTAAGATTCATTGTCCCCTGCACTGCTGAAAGGCTTTGTCAAAGCAGATAATAACGTCCTGTCAGGAATGTGCAAACAGAAATGTATGTTAAGTTGTCCTTTCCCTCCTTTTTTTTTTTTTTTTTTTTACTATGGGAACTTAGTTGCATTCCTAGTTTACAGGCTCAGATATTATGTTAAAAGGTTTCCACTTTCTTAATAGTGTAAAATGTTCCAAAAATAGGGTATTAAAGAAGGTTAGGTGAAAAATATTTGAGTAACTAGGTGGGGATAGTCCTGAGAGTAGTAATCAAGCATAATGACTATCAAAACAAAAGAAGGTGCAGCTTAGGAGTGCGAAGGTGGGTAGAACCCTGAGTCAGAAGGTGGAGTGTTTAATCTGGAACAAGACAAACAAAAGCACTGCTTTCTTTTCCTTACAAACCTTTGGTACCCTTTATATTATAATCTCAGGAAACAAAGTGCTCTTAAAACATTTCTTTTTTATCCGCAAGAGACAGACTTTCTATTCTGGCTTCCTGCATGTAGTAGTAGCTGTGATGTTATTTGGGCATCTGACGGTGAGCATTTGCTTGTTTAGACTGGGTATTTTCCTTTACCGTGTTCGCTGATGGCACATATGTGCTGAAACAAAAGATTTAAATGCATCAGTTTCTTAACAAAATACAAAGCACAGAAAACGTGAGGCAGTAATAACAGAATGCCATGCTGTAAGTGATTACTGTTAATTCAGATATATATATAGGTGCCTTTATACAAAAGTCTCCTTGCCTTTTTTTTTTTTTTTTTTTGCCAGGTTCTCAGTATGTAGTCCAGGTTGGCCTTGAGCTCATTCTGTAGTTCAGGTTGGCCTCGAACTTGTGGCAGCCCTCCTGCTTCTGCTGGGATGACAGGCATGCACTACCACATCTGGCTCAAGGCTCTTTGTTATTTTGGTTTTGAGATCTGTTCTGAATCTAGTTTCCCAGCCGCCCCAAAACCAGAATTGCTGAGGGTACCATATGTTTACCTCTGGTGGGGAAAGAAGTCTACTGGTAAAATGATCATTGCTTGGGGAAATAGAGAAATAACAGTGGGAAATAAAGTGTGGACTCCTACTGGGCCACTTTGGGTAACAAGAAATATGTCAGGAATATTTTTATTGCAAGCAACAGAAATGGAGTCAGGCTGATATAGGCAGAAAGGAGGATTCTTGGTAGGATACAAGAGTAACTCACAGAACCCAAGGATGACGTAAATAATGAGATAACTGGAAGGCAGGAACAGGATGGCCTCGACCCAAGGTGCTTGTGGAAGCTTTCTGGGGCCCTGCTTTGTATCAGTGTCCATCCCACAGCCCTTGGTCTCTGTGACTTTTGATTTAAGTTTCCAATTTCTGGCCAGGAGTCATGGTGCATGCCTGTAATCCCAACATTTGGGAGGCTGAGGAAGGAGAATCATGAGTTCCCCATCAGGCTGAGCTACATGGTGAGTTCCAGGTCAGCCTGGACTGCACAGTAAGACTCTGCCTAAAAGTTTCTAATTTTTAAGAGGAAGACACTGGTCAGTCTATGTTAGTCACATGTCTACCTGTGGATCAGGGTGACAAAGCTGGGGATCCACATAAGGGTCAGGGTTCCGTGTCTGTGTGTTGACTGTTTCCCCGAACGGGGAATAGTTATGAACTGCATGCCATTGTAATTGGAACCTGTTCGATGTCAAGCACTGACATGAACCCATTTATAGAACATTGGCTATTTATTATGATTGTGTTAGGTTTCTGGTGCAGAAAAAGAAACAGAGAAAAGGAAAGCCTTTACTCTGGACAAGTTGAGGTGAGGACAACATGCGATACCGAACTTCTCTGGGGCTAAACAAAGGGAGCTGGGGTTTATAAAGACTCTGGTTAGCAGGTAGCACTTAAGGGGCGGGCTTAGCGATGTATCAGGAGCTGATTGGGGGTTTCTTCACATGCGCGGGAAGGGCAAGAGGAAGCTGTACTCGGTTCGGGCTGAGGGGAGAAGAAAGTGGGGGATGGTCATTGAGAAGATAAGCTGTTGTTTTGGGTTTCAGCTGTGTTAGGCCACCACCACCATAATAATTCAGTTATTCATACCCAGGCAGGAACCTATCAGATTGGCTGGGAAGAGTCAGTGACTACGGAGAAAAATCTGCATGGAGCTATCATTGTTTCTTCATCCTAATACCTACTTTGCAGAATGGTTGTGGGAGTTCACTGGGAGTGTGGACACAGTGCCCAATATGTGCCTGACGCAGAAGACACCCATAAAAACAGCCACCATCAGTAATAGTTCAATAATTTGTCCAACTGATGTCACTGTTGTGTTTTTATGAAAATGGGATTAGGGTTTTGCATGCAAGACTTATATTCAGAGCTCTGAAGTATTCATTATAATCTAAGGCATATCCCACCACAAATAAGTTTGGAATCTCAAATCCAGCATCTTAGCAAAGAGAAAGAAAGAAAGAAAAAATAGAGTACATTAAGACTAATACTACCATAGGCTTTTCTTGGTATTCAAACTGTAAGGACTTTTCATTTAGGTAGAAGGAAGTAAGAAAAATGGTATGAAATGCACAAGATAGACCCAGTAGGACTAGGCCAGAATGACTACTGGGATAGACAAGGAAAACAAGCAGACATACATAGGAATAACTGGACTCCTCACAGAGTTGAGAAAGAGCTCAGGAGGCCCAGTGGATAACAAGAAGTGTGCATGAGTTAGTCATGTGGCCTTGTTGTTCCAAGGCAAGCAGAATATCATGACATAAAGCCAAAGGGAACACTCAAAAAAGCACAAAGGGCAGATCAAACAGACAGCATTAGAGGACTGCATCCTACGAATACGTGCGAGACTGCTGCAGCCAGGAAGCAGTTCTTCACTGCTTCAGTCTTCCCAGCTGGGTACAGGGCTGGAAAGCAAAACCTGGGAGACAAATGAAAGAAAAGGGCATTGTTTAGCTGGGGTATAAGAATACGAAGTGTTATTTTAAGGCTGGACTTGGAACCCACAATGCAGAGGACATTAATTAGCTCTTTATCTCTATTGAGAGCAGAAGGAGAGCAAGTGAATTTAAATGTAGCACAAGGTACTTCGCAAAAGAAGACTTTATTGGAAGGAAGATGACATTTTATAGATGAGGATCCTGAGAATCAGGGAGCAGTTCTCCTTCAGACATCCTGTGACAGAGTAAGTGTGCCATGATCTAGTGATTTTTGAGCTATTTTCAGGTTTTAGAATTTCATGTTTGTTTATTTCAGCCCCATAGGGGAGATGAGCTTGCTTGCTTTCACGGAGCTGTCCATCTTTTAGCCCGTGGGCTTGGAGGATGAGCAGTTTTGTCCACGGTGACTGTGTCTCAGATTTCCATCCTTGTGACCAGAGTACTCTCACATGGAGAAACCAACAGATTCGTCCTTACAGAACGTGCTAGGCGTGAAGGATCGGTTTTCTAAAGGATTGCGTTGTGGGAGTACTGGTCAGAAAACCTGCTTGATTCCTCCAAACTGCAGACTTTCTTGAGAAAGCATAATCAAAGAGGAGACACAGGAGCAGAAGAAAAGACCTCAGAGTTTATGTTTAGCATAAGAGAAAGTACCAATGATGAGAAAGGGACTAAAAGTGCAAAGCTTCATAAATCTAGAGAGAAAAAAGAAACAGATTCTGGGCCAGCTAAAAGAATATGCATAAATCCCAGGAAACCCCAGTTGTAACGATAGTGGCTTTACTATGAGCAGTGCAATCTGTGCAATAGGTGTGGCAGCCCAGAGCAGGAAAATTAGAGCCCAGAGACAGTTTAGGAAGCGAAATCTTGGGATGTCAGGAATATAGGAAGGACGATGGGTCAGTAGGACAGTCAGAAATGTGAATGACCCCTCACTCATTGGTAAATAAGTGCAACTCCTACACTTACACTTGCAGTTGATTTTATCAGATAGACTGCCTGGATTTGATCCTGCCTGGCCCTATAGTACGGCTATGACCCTGGCTATCTAATGTGGTTGTCTTCTATTTCTTATTCTATTAAGTAGGCATAACAATAGCAGCTACATTTAGAGATCTCTTGTGAGGATGAAATGAGTTAATCTCTTGTTGCTCCCAGAATAATACCTGGCACATCATGCTAGTGTAAAGTATTACCACTCTTATTATTTTATTTGTTATGGTGCTGGGGATCAAACCCAGTGCGTCCCACAGTAAGCAAGTGCTCTACCACCAAGCTACAGTCCTTGCCCCAGCTGCTACTGTTTTATTTGTTTTTGTTGTAAGTGACACAAGAAACTTGTAATGAATTGGACATGTTTGAAGTGAATGTTTTTCAATTTCAGTTAAAACCTTATCTGTTTAGTGAGTATCTTATACTATTTCCTTACAGCATTTCTGTTTAGTAACCTAACATAACCTTGACACCTATCTTTGATTTCCGAAGCCAATAACCAACAGGAACACACTATTGGGTCCTTCCGCCCACAACTGACACCGTCTAGACTCTATACCTAGCAGAGGAATGAGACTTGTTTTCAGAATAGTGAGTCACTGGCACATGACCCGTCCATACTGTGCCTGTCTCTAATGTTTGTTCAGCTTGATTATGAGAACTGTAGCCAAATTATCTCCGGAGCTTTAGAGCAAATGTAAGTTATAAAAATCAAGCTGAAGTCTGCCTTATGCAAGAAAAAGAATTGGCTCTAGTGTTAGAAAAATAAATAATCTGGCTGCTTGTTTATTGCTTCTGACATTAGAACTAAGCCCATTGCAGGGAGGCATGGGAAAGTGCTCTAGATGAGGAATTCCCTGCAGAACATGGGAGGAGGGTATCGCTGTTTGTTGCCTGTGTTTCTGGATGTCAGATTGGAGGTGACTGTGAGAAGCCTTGCTGTGCCTTAAGACTCAGGCTTGCTCAGTCTCCATTACGCATTGTGTGGTAACAGGTCCTGAAGGCACCTTCTACACCTTCACAGCGCCTTCTATACCTTCACAGCACCTCTGTGATTGTTGGGAAAGGGGCCAGGCAGGGACCATGCGTGTCTGAATCAGGCCAGCATGGTAAGTCTTCCGCTACCCCGAAATGGGTCAGCTGGAGCTCTTTAGAGTTAAAGTCTGCATAAAACCAGACAATAGTAGCTATCACACTGGACAGAAGTCTCTGATCCATGCATGCTACAGGGTTGAAGGCCCTTAATTTTAACAGAGATGATGAGGAGTTTGCAGGACTATAGCCCTACACAGCTTCCACTACCCAGGGAAATCAATAAACCCTTAAGCACAAAGCAAAACACCAGCCCAAAAAACAAAAACAAAAAAACCCACTTACAGTCAGGTCTAAAGCCATCACTTCTTGAGATTCTCTTTACCAACAAACTGTCAATAAAAAAATGGGGATAGCTTTAGTCCTTGCCATCAGTTTAATTACAAGTAGAATTAAACATTGCTGAGGTGCGTGGTTTTTCCCTTGAGCAGGTAGAGCGCTGTCACATCCCTTTGTAACTCCTGCCCTTGGTGCTGTGCCACTGCATCTAGATGAAAGGAAGGGAGCTGAGCAACTGCGCAGGGGCTCATCCAGCTGCTCCGTCAGACAGACAGCTCATAGCCAGGGGGGGCTAAGAAATAGGCAGACACTCCCCCTCCCTGTCCTCTCTGGGGCTAGCAGTCAAAGGGCTATTTTCCCCCAGGGGAAAGGCTCAGTGGTTGCAATAGACGATACTGTCTGGGAAGAGCCTTTTGGGTTAGGATCCCCCTGTACTCGTGGGGAAGAACAGAACTCACCATGCTATGTATGAATGTCCCTCTTCCCTGGCTGCCTTCATCATGTTGGGCTTATATTCCTCTACGCTGCTGAGCAGGGCTTTCACGGTCTTCCCAGTCCCAACAAGATCCTTTGCAAAAGTACAGACAGGTTCAGCAAAACATATCTGAGCAGCATAGTAACATTTTCACCCTTGTGAAATAATGGACCCTTGTTAATAATGGACCCTAATTACAGATGGCATCTCACTGGGGTCAAAGTGAGCAGCACAGCCAGTTCTATTTTCTTATGTGCTCTGCAGGAGGCTTGTTTGGGGGGAATATACCGGTGAATATTTTTTTCCTGCATCTTGGAGCTGTGTGGCAGGGCTAATTCAGCCTTTCGAGAGCATGTGGGGCTCCTTCTCCTTGAGTACACTGGGACTCGTGCATGCACATTCAGGGATAAAATTTGGCCCTGAGGTTATGTAACACAATATGAGATGCATGAATTTTCATGGATATGGGACGGACATCTGCATACAGTGAATGGATAAACACCTCCCCCTGGTACTCCCCACTCAATAGGGGATTCGATGGCTGGGAAGTGAGATGTGTCTGGGCAGCAGCTGGTAAAAACCCATGAGTTCTAGGGGTCCGAGACTGCTGTGAACTCAGGCTCCCCTCCACTGACGAGCTGCGGCTCAATTAGAGTAGAATGGGCTGCCGCAATTCATTGTCTGTGGGACAGAAATCAGCTGTCAGGAGCTGATTATCAACACAAGAGGTCTGAATTTAGCTTGTATAGGGCAATTCGTTTGGCTGGAGGGTCTGCTTCATGGGTTATGTGGACTGTGGCTACACCAGGCACACAGAGGCAGTTGTGGAACAAAAGCCCAAGAATGGCTCCTCTGAAATTTCCCCAGCTGCTAAGACAGACCTGCTCCTGAACGAAAGGTGGCTGCTTGCTGCGTCAGTGCACAAGGCTCATGCCATGTGGCTTGCTCTTTTTTCTTTTACTTTTTTTAAACAGGAAAAAAAAAATGATACAGTTCCCTTAGATTGCCATTTGAAAAAAAAATGATTGTAATTATGATTTTGATATGGGAAGTACTTGAGATTTAAAGTCAGCAAAATCCTTAGCAAAGATATTGAATTTAGGGCAAGGACAGCTCTAACCTTGGCTTTTACTGTTAAATAAAACGGGCTCTTGTGGCTAGTTTACTCTTTGTAGTTGTCTAATTCACATTTCAGTAAAGAACTGTAGGTGTTAGAACCAGTTAAGCCGCTTGTGAAACTGGACGTAAGCCAGGATAGAGTATCACACACCTATTGTTACAAAGCTTGGATACTATATTATTTGAGGCCCGGGATTATAGTTAGCTCCTATTCAATCAGTTTGGAGAGCAAGGCACACAGTGGGAACTCAATAAATCCTTGGCCAATTTGACAACAAGTTCTACATTTTAAAACTCACTGTTAGATTCTTTCAGCTTCCAAATATGGAAAAGGGAAAGCCAGCTTCCCTCCACAATGAGGACACTCTGAAAGAAACAAAACCTATATTGTAGAGTATGATGAAAATCTGGCTCACACAATAATACACATTTTGTTTATAGTTAGGATTTCACGGTTTTCTTATTCGGTGCTGCCCCATCCATCTAATCTAAATGACTGGAGGTTAATCTAGGTATTCCAGATTCATTTTGAAAGCCTTTGTGGAACTACTTGGAATTGCAACTTTAGTATCTACATTCATGTGAGGAGCAGACTGTATTTCCTGCCTGAAGAATCACCCATTAAGTCATTCCACCCTGATAATTCTGGCATTCGCCTGCGCTCAGTGGTTCTTTGGGGTGCAAAAGTTCACTAAGAATTCACGAGGAACACAAGCCATCAAAAACTATACCACCAAGGGAGACGGTGGTCTGTAGATGAATCATGTATTTTTTTGGTACCAGGAATTGAACGCAAGAACTTGTGCTTCCAGGCTGGCCCTTGTGGCCCCTGAGCTACATCCCTCTTCCCTGGATCATGTATTCTGCTGTGATGTATTCCCTGTTCCCAGGTAGCCACCCAAAGCACTGGGGATTCAGTATTTATTCCTAGGTTTTCAATCTGAGGCAAGGGTGGGCTAGAGAAAGAGCTAGGAGGGGCCCAGCGTCAGTGAGATGGTTAGGTCCCGCACACACTTGAAAGACATTGCTCTTCTTCTCCCCTTAGCACACTGGTTATGTTTCATGTTAATTTCTTGTTCAATATCTGTCTTCTCCGCTAGCTTTTAAATTGAAGGAGTAGGGATCAGGTTTGTTTTGCTTACCATTGCATTCCAAGAATGTTTGCATGTAGATGCTCAATAATTTGTTGAATGAAGGAATAATGATTGATTAAGGTTAGTAATTAGTTAAAGTCCACCAATTAATTGGATTCATAGTAACATCTATTTATTTTTTTGGTCTTTTTTGAGGCAGGGTCTTGCTATGCAGTTCAGGCTGGGCTTGAGCTCACTTTGTAGCCCAGGCTGGTCTCGAACTTGCAACAATCCCCTGCCTCAGCCTCCTGAGTGTTATGCACCAGCGTGCCTGGCCTATATAGTAACATCTTAATGCTATCCCACCAAATTAAAATAAGATGGTGTTAACATGTCATTCTGATTAACTAAAGAATGAGAGTATTCCCTCAAAGTAATAAACTTTATCTCTCTTTAGATGATCTTTAATTTATCTGTGTGACTTTTATAATGCTTTAAAAATTGGATGAAATCTTATAGATAGATATCTTACTTATGTCTAATGCAAAAAAGACTTAATTAATAAAAATGCTAACCAATTCCTCCCCAGCCAACCAACAACCCTGCTAAATGTGTACCATGTCAAACACATAAACACATTCTTCCACAGAAATCCCCCACTTGGCCTGGCATATAGCTCAGTGGCACAGCTCCTTCCTGGCAAGTGTGAGGTCCTAAGTTCAATTCCTAGTACCAAAAAAAAAAAAAAAAGAGAGAAAAAAAAAGAAAAAACACAATGCCCCCCTTGAAGCATTTTTCTCTCAGATGTGATGCTTTTATTCCTTAAATCCATTCAACATTTTATCATAAAGCTATGTTTATATGGTCTACTTCTGAAGGAGGTGATGTCATCGTATTCGCTAAGAATCACACTGAGCAAGGAAGCCCCTTGGTATTTTGGACACTTGGCTATGGGTGTAAGCATCAATCCATAGCAGTTAGTTGGTACGTGCGTTCTTAGTTTCACTAAGACTGACCAGCCAGGCCTCTTAGCCAAGTAGAATAACTGGAGAATGTTATGATTCATGTAATGTCCTCATTCATGATTTTTGTTTCAATTTTATGAAGAAAAACATTTCTAAAATACGTTAGTCTGCATTCTTGTCTAAGGACAGTGCACTGCAAATGATTAAATCTGATTTTTTGTTTTCATCCTTCAAAACTTTGCAAAACAGAGTCATCTTTGAAAAAATTAGTTACAACTCTCAGAAATAATGGTGGGTGGTAAGTGGGATTTGGATGTGTACTGATCCTGAGGTTTAATGTAAAAATGACTCAAATATGTTTGAGAATTGAAAGGTTGTAAAGAAAAACACCCCCTTCCCATTTGATCTGTTCTCACCCCAGTTTTGCTCCCGAGAGGCAAGCCCTTTTAACTCTTTTAGCTGTTTTTCTGGTTATTTCCATACTTCTAAAAAAAATTTAGCTGGGTGTGGTAGTGCACACCTGTAATCCCAGCAGTTGGGAGGCTGAGTCAGGAAGATCGCTGTGAGTTCAAGGCCAGGCTGGGCTACAAAGTGAGTTCAAGGCCAGCCTGAACTCCATATGGAAACCCTGTCTCAAAACAAACAAACAAAAAAAATTAACAGTGAATTAAATTAATGTTTTGTATAGCTAGCTATTTGTTTTGAAACATATTTAAGTCATTTATTGATTTTTCAGGTTGCGTGTTCTTAGAAAGGGGGTTTCAATTATGAATGTATACTTTTATTTTAGAAAAACATATTTTATTATATGTATATACTTATTAAAGACAATACTTTTCAAAAGTTATTTATTTATTTATTTATTTATTTATTTATTATGTTTTTGGGGTAGGGTCTTGCTATGCAGTTCAGGCTGGCCTTGAGCTCACTCTGTAGCCCAGGCTGGGCAACGATGCTCCTGCCTCAGCCTCCCGAGTGCTAGGATCACAGGTGTGCATCATCACACCCGGCCAATACTTTCTGTAATATATAAATACAAAAGAATTAAAGAATGTTTGGAAGCAAAATCTAAGGATCCACTAACATTTTTGGGAGGACGGTGGGGATTGTACCCAGGGCTTCATGCGTGCTAGGCAGGTGCTCTGCTACTGAACTACTCTCCCTACCCCTAAGATTTTCTAAGTTTCTGATGCATTTAGTTATTGAAAGATTTTTAAAAATTGTATGTGCCTTAAAATACAGATATCATATTACGCATAGCTAAAGCATTATCACATCTAAGGAAAATGACAATGTCTTAGTATCACCTAAAGTCTACTGTGTATACTCAGATTTCCCCAGGTGCCCTTACATGAGCTTTATAATTTGTCCCATCCGTGACCACACACTGGCTCCACTCCGCTAAGGTTCCAATGTGCTGCTCAAAGGTCCTGTGTGGGAAACTCAGTCCTCAAAGTGACAGTGTTGAAAGGGGGAGCTAAGTAGGTCTCGAGGGCTCTGCCTTTGGGAACTGATTATCCTCCCTATGAGCAGAAGGGGTCCACATAAAAGCAAATTAGGTCCCTTTTGTCTTCACACTCTTGCCTCACCTTGGACTTGAGAGGATGAGGCCCAGAGGCCCAAGAGGAGAGAGGACACAAGCGTCCCAACTCTGGCAGCATGTTCACTTGTGTCCAAGGGAGCGACTGCCCTTAATGTACGAAGATTAGATCCAGGAGTCATGGAGACCGGCATGTAGTAGGTGTTCAAGAAGTGCCTGTGGGCTGAATTAACAACGCTGACTTCTTTCTTTCCCTTCCTCTAACTCATTACACCGGTGATACATCACCTCCGCCTTTCCTTAACGATCTGCACCTTTACCAAGCTGTAGTTAATGTCTGTTTGCTTTTTAATTCTGCACCGAGCAACCCTCTAAAATTCTCTTTTTTTTCTTTTTTGAGTGGGCAACCTTGGGACTTTTTTAGAACACGCTGTGCTGTGGAAACACTTCCCATCTGATAACTGCTCACTGGATCTGAGATGTGTGCCGGTTGCTGTCTTAGTCGTCTCGTTGCACCTAGCTCACTTCCTCCCAGAGAGCCAGCAAAATCTGCAGCCCGGGGCTGCGGGCGAAAACTCCATGGGGACTTTCTAGAGCATGTTCTTTCTTTGCTCTTGCACAATTCTAATCAAAGCTAATCACACCTAGTTTCCTAGTGAAAAAGAAAGCAAGAAAAAAGCCAGGAAGAAGAAAAGGATCATACGAATCTCAGTGATTTTCTTAAATAGGCTGTTCCCACTTTGAATCTTTTAAAGCACAAAATGGTTAGTACACCTCCCTGCCTAAACTGCGGCGCCCTGGTTCCGTGGCCATGGTCACTCCAAGCAGGAGGACAGCCTCCCAGACGACGAGCTGTGTGGTGCGCGCCCAGCACGAGCAGAAGTGTGAATGCAAACCCCACGGAGAAAGGAATGAACTTCAGCCTTTCATTTTATGTGATAATTCACAAAATTGCCAGAATCGTCAGTCAGTGGGCATTTCCACGATTGTTCTCAGCCCTGTCAGATGCAATAAAAAGGAGTGATTTAAACAGTTAAGGCAGCCAAGGGAGAACTTTTGGCAGGTTCTGATGCTTCATGCTGGCGTTTGACTAGGGACTTATTTGAGGGTGGGTTGCGGGGGAGCGGTGAGGTGGTGGGGGTGTCTCCTGAAATCCCGCACTCACCCTGCACATCTGTGTTTCCTCGCTGCCGGATTCGGGCCCGTTTCCGTGCACTTGGTTTTATTCCACCCTTTCAGAAGTTTCTATTGAACATGAATAAAATCTTCTTGCTCTAATGGATACACACATTTTGTGAAGTGCCAGGCTTAAATCAACTTTGAAAAAAAACCACCCCGAGAGCACGTTGCGCAGACAGTTTAAACACACAGGGTAAAATGCTTTTAGCAGTGCGAGCCGGGAGCCATTGAACTTAGTTGTCGAGGGTTCCCTTTATCCCACAGCAATGACCTAGTTAAGAGCCATGACTCAGCCAGCTCCGCTGAAAGCAAAAGAAGAAAGGAAAGGAAGGAAGAAAGAAAAGAAAAAAGAACAGAAAAGGAAGAAGGAGAAAGGTACCCACAAGCCTCCTTTTTCTTTTTCTGGGGTTTTTGAGACAGAGCCTCCTTATGGAGTCTTGGCTGGCTTTGAACTCACTGTAGCCCAGGCTGGCTACCCCATCGTGCGACCTCTCTGCCTCCGCCTCCTGAGGGCTGTGAATATAGATGTGCAGCACCATCCGTGCCCAATTTATACTCTCCTTTCTCTCTCTCTTTTTCTTCTTCTTCTTCTTTTTTCCTTTTGTTATGAGAGCTGGAACTGAGGGCCTCTGCAGTGAGATACACCCGCTGCCTTTTTAAATTTTTAAATTTGAGACAGGGCCTCATCAAGTCCTTAAGTTGTCTACACTGGGTTTGAACATGCAGTCCTCTGGCCCTCAGCCTCCCAGCATGATGGGATTATAGGCATGCACTACTGTGCCTGGCCCTTTTTTCAGATTTTTAAGGCCCCGGGAAAGAGGCTTGCCGTGGGAAGACATTTGGTGTGCTGCTTTGGGCGCTGAGCATTTAAGGAGAGCAAGTTTCGGTCAGAGTTGTGATGTAATAAATGCAATTTAAATGTAAATTTAAGCTTCTGGTGAATGGTGTGATGATGATCAGAGATGGGAGAAGCAATACAATGCCCTTGAGCAAGCCTTCCATCTGGTGCGGCTGCTCATGGCACTTTCTGATTTTCTTCTCCAGTCCTTCTAACTAGAACACACTGATTATCGAGTGCTTTTTCCTCTTACAGTTTGCCTAGGTGGCGTATGTTCTGCACGATGGAGCGATTCCGAGATGCCTCTGAGGTTGCATTTTAAACCCCCGAATCTCTTTCTTGGGAATGGAGCAGGCCACATGGACATCTTCGTCTTAACCAAAGGTTAAGTGACCTTCCCAAGCTCTGCCCTCCAGCCTGCAACATGTAGCTCCACATCCTTCCCCTTGCGTCTCTTGCAAACCTCTGCCCCTGCAGACAGCTGTCCCACCTCAAAGCTTTTGTCCTCCAGCCCTGACCTCACTCAGCTGTCCATGTGTCCTTTGTCCTGACCTCTTACTTTCACTTAACTTTTTTCTCTTTTTAAAATTTAATTTAATTTAATTTTTGTCTTTTTTGAGACAGGGTCTCAGTATGCAGTTCAGGCTGAACATGAGCTTACTGCAGCCCAAGCTGGCCTCAAACTCACAACAATCCTCCTGTCTCAGCCTCCCGAGTGCTGGGATTACAGGTATGCACCACCACGCCGGGCTCTCTTTTTTTATTTTAAAGAAAAGAAAAATAAACAATAAAAACAATGGTGTAAAATTTCAAAGCAAGATTGTGGGAGAGTAACAATGGTTAGTACATTGTGTATGGTTATCTTCAAAGTAGTTACTCAGGTTACAAGATACAGGCATGAAAAATTGATCAAGCGATATAGGCATAGACCTTTCTTTTCAATGAGTTAATAGCAATTAGTAGTATAACTATCTTGTGTGTATATATATACATATATATATATTTTTTCCTCTTCCTTCTTTTCTCCTTTCCCCCATTCTTTTTTGTTTTTTGGTTTTTCTCCGGTACCGGGAACCAAACTCACGACCTTGCACATGCCAGGCAGGTGCTTTTGCCGCTGAGCTAAATTCCCAGCCCTTTCCCCATTCTTGTTTCTCTTTCCTTTTGAGCATTTGTTTTACATTTCATAGTATCTATTGTACATTTTGGGTCTTATTTGCTCTTTCAGCTTCTTACACTAGGGAGACAATATGATGTTTACACATATGAGACTGATTTATTTCCCTTATGAGTATGGCCTCAAGTTGCATCTCAAATTTATCCTTCTTTATAGCTGAGTAGTACTCCACCATATTAAAAATACCACATCTTTTTTATCTATTCCTTAGTTTATGGGCATTTGGGTTGTTTCCAAGATTTTGCTATGACAAACTGTGCTGCTATAAACATGGGTGCACATATATCACTGTGGTATGATGTTCTACTGTTGGTGGCAATGTAGACTGGTGCAACCACTTTGAAAATCAGTCTGTAGATTCCTCAAAAAACTAGGATTAGAGGTGCCATTAGACCCAGCTATTCCCTTTCTGGGTATTTTCCTAGAAGAATTAAGATCATCACTTAACTTTTCCTATCCTTCAAGCCATTCCTCATGGAGCAACCAAAATATTCTTCTTACAGTACAAATTGCATCTCACCACTTGCCGACAGAAAACTTGCCATTTGGCTTAAATTTACCTTTGGCTTAAATTTTACCTTCTGCCGTGTCCTCTTGTTCCCCAATTTTTTTTTTTTTTTTTGTACAGAAATCTAACTCAGGACCTTGCGCTTGCCAGACAGGTACCTGTGCAGCTGAGCTATATCCCCAGCCCTTGTTCCCAAATTAATTGAAAACCTCTTTCTGATTTGTATGGAAGAGGACCATACACTTACTAGTCACCAATACTGATTCCAACCTATTAGGGTCCAGCCCTTTGCACAGTGTTGGAGATAGGACAGGGAACAAGACAGGCCCAGTTCATGCTGACTTTCTGGTTGGGTAACAGAGTTTTTTAAAGCCCCAAAGTAAACACTACAAATAGTAGAGTAGACTGTAATGGAAACAGGGTACACACATAACTTGGCTGAGGGGAAGAATGTGGATTTATTTTCGGTAGCATCTCAGGGGAGTATTCCCATATGGAGGAGACATTTAGGCTGGAACTTGAAGGATAAGAGCAAAGAAGATTCCAGGGAGATGCCACAGCTTGCCCAGGTCTTAACAGGAAGGTGCTTAGCCAGCATGGTTAGGTCACTGTGGGGGAGGATATTGGGGATGTGTGATTGGGAAGCAGGCAGGTCACACAGGTCTTATAGGTTGCAGTGAGGAATTCGGACCATATTCGCAGAGCTCTGGGAGTAAGGTTTCCAGGTAAAGATACAGAACATCCAGTGACATCTGAATTTTAGGCAAACAAATAATTTTTTGGTATTAGTGTCCCAAATCTTACATGCACTATATGACACATGCATGGGCTATACTTATACTAAAATTTTATTCATTATTTAAAATTCAAATTTAGCTGGGCATCTTGGTTTTTTTTTTTGGTTATTTTTGTTTGTTGTTATTGAGTTTGACAACCCTAAATTAGAGACCACTGGACCGTTTTCAGCTAGCAAGTGATGTGATCCAATTTCTATTTTCAAAAGATCCCTTTGGCAGCTTTGTGGTGAATGTTTTGGAGGACCGTGAAAATTAAATGAAGATAAAAGTTCAGGGACGCTCATTAGGTTATCAGAGCAGGTCAGAAGAGGGCCTCACCCAAGAGACCAGGGCCTCCCAAACCTTGATGTGCTCATGAATCATCTAGGGATCTCCTTGAAATGAAGACTTTATTTCAGTAGATCTGGGCTAGGATCTGTGATTCTACATTTCTAACACCCCCCCCCAGGGGACACTGACCTTGCTGGTTCTTAGATCAAATGTTTGCAAGCTATGGCTCATGGGTCAAATTTGTCCTGTTATCTCTTTCTATAAATAAAGTTTTATTGGAACACAGCTATTTCTGTTTGTCTTCACATTATCTGTGACCGGTTTATGTTATAACATAAGAGTTGAGTAACTGCAAGAGACTGTCAGGCCACAGAGTCTAAAATATTCACTATCTGGTCCTTTAGAAGGAAAGTTTGCTGACTGTCAAGCTAGACCACAATTTGAGCAGCAAGGTTCAAGACCTAGGGGGAATAGTAAGGGAGAGAAACAGATAGATTTCACATGTGTTTGAAAGCATATGGTGTAGCCTGCCCTGGCTGATCCAATCATTGCTTCTGATAGAGTGAGGGACCCTGAACTGCAGAGTCCTTAACTCAAGTTAGTGTGACAGCTGAGAACCTGGCTAGTTAGTATTGGTTCATCTTAGAAATATTTACTGGTACGTCCTAAGCCCAAGGATTCTACTTGGCATGTGTTGAAACATATATGGAAATGCATCTGTGTGCACACAGAGTGTAAAGATACACTTAAAAAGAACCTTGGAACCTGGAGGAAATAATTTTGTTATGCTGGAAAGAAGCTAGAGCCATGTCCTTCTTGTTTGTACTACTGGCTGGCTGTCCATCTCTTCTCCCTAAATTTCTACAGCCCCTATGTTTTCATGGGGCGGGGGCATTCTTTGCGGTAATTATGGAGGAGATGCTGAAGTAGAGAGCTATCTTCTGTTCACTCCAGTCCTAAGAAGAAGCCATCCTGTCTACCACCTCCTCACTAGCTTTTCACCACTGTGACCAAAATACCAGACATGCATGACTTAAGGGTGGAGAGGTTTATTTTGCTCATGGTTCCAGAGATTTCCATCCATGGCTGGGGGGCTCCAAGCTGGAAACACAATGGGAGAACATGGTAAAGGAGAGCTGCTTGCCTTGAGGTAGCCAGGAAGCAGAGAGAGAGGGAAAGATCTAGCAAGGTGAAGGGTCTGGGGCCAAGAGGTATCTTCAAAGGTGAACTCTCTTCTGTAACAGCCCACTCAGCCACAAACTCATCAATACATTAACTCACTGATGACACTGGTGCCTTCTTGATCCAGTCACCTACCTATGCCTTCCCTCTGAACACTGCCGTTAATGCATTAGTCTTTGGGGGGGCACTCCACCTTTGAACCAGCTTTTAAAGAAAGGGAAAATCCAGTGTTTAGCTATGAGGGAAATCCCTTTACAACAAACCACAAGATGATTTTATTACCAAGGAGAAAGGAAGCACAGTTCTATGGTACAATTTTTTATCTTGTCATTCATTTGGGAATTTTAGCACTGTCACTTCGACAGATGGCATAGCCAAAGCACAAGGCAAGATATTTCCCTTTTATAATAAACCTATCAGGCAACATCATGCAGAGAAGTACCAGAATGACACCTTTAAAGACCACTTCAGGATAGTATAAGTTTATGAATTTCGGGAAATCGCTCTGAGTATTTTAGTTTCTAGAATGTTATTGTATGCACTGGTGTAGTAACATCGAATAACGGCCCAGGGGTGCATTTATAGACACAAGTTAATTTCAATTGCTCTGAAGCAGAATTTACTACTCAGTGGAAATTTAGTACTTGGAACCCACTGCGTTATCTTCAGAGTCCGGGAAAGCAGGGTGTTCTGCGGTTAGAATCCTTGCGGCTCTGTAGCATTCCCAATATTACGATACATGCTTTTATTAAATGTGGCTGCTATTCTTTTTCCTCATCCGGGAATTGCATAACAATAACAACCGCAAGTGTGAGAGATTAAGCTTGTGTAATAGCTGGTCCATTTTACTTAGCAGCCTGAGGCTGTACAGGGATAATGAATGCAAGCTTGGTGAGTACAGGTGAACCAAAACGAATTCTGCATTGCTCTGCTGCTTCGTTCACAGAGAATTTACATTTCAAATGACATTCCGAAAGGATCCTCTGCTTTACGAAACAACCCTGCCTTCCAATTTAAGTATTTATGACAGAAGCTGAATAGTCTTTCCACTTTCTAATTAGGAATTGGTGAGTTTGGAGCTTCCAGTTAAAATTGGAGGTGTTTCCCCCATCATCTAATAGGTTACGTTCTTTTTAATAAGGAAAAAAAGGCAAGGGGCTAAAAATGTGCTCTCAGGAAACTCTTTTGTGTCTCTTCTTCCCTCCCTTGGTTCTGTACATTTCAACAAACCTGTTTAAATGTCGCACTACAGTGCCTAGGTGCAGAGGCACAGATGAGAGATACAAAGCAGACAAAGGAGAAAGCGTCCTTTTCAGCCGGTGCTCTGAAAGGGTGAAGAGAAAGGGACGGAGCAAGGAGGGCCAGGGGCTTTGTTTTCTGAAATAAGACTGGAACTGAAAGCTTGGAGAAGGATTTTGTCTGCATCATGCCCTGGATGCATTCTAAAAGGAGTGTTTTAGAAAGGAAAGGAAAATCATTAAAAGGACTCGCACATCCATTTGCATGAATTAGCAAACCTGGGAGAATGTCTGCGATGTATTGCATGTGTAATACCGAAATGAAGGTCACGGATGTCCCCAGACATCAGTGCAGACTGTGCAGTTACATTAACAAACCTGGCCAGCCAGTACTGAAAGATCCTCGCCTCCTGTGATCTGCGTCTTGTCCATGGACTGATCATTCTACAGAAAAGGAGGAAAAAAAGAAGAAAAGGAAGATGATGTTTTACTGCATCAGAAAACCTTTAAAGCACATTTTCCTATCTACAGTACTCAGTCAGTGGAGAGGTTGTGCCTTACAAATGTAGCACAAATTGTCTTACAGACTCATGGTTGCCTATGGTTACCAAGAGCTGCTCGCCAGCACTGCCCTTGAGACAAAGCTTTCTAATGACTGGCAGGGAGACGGTGAAGAAGGGGGATGGAGGGGTGGAGAGAGGACAAATAAACAAAACTTTGAGGCAAAACACCATGGAGAGTGCCAAAACCTATCTCGAAGCAGGCAGAACTGAAGAGCCACACCCTCAACTTCTTGAAGGTGGGGGTAGGGGAGCCGTGGGTGTGGCCAAGCATCTGTCTGCTCTGCCTGCCAGCCCCAGTGACCAGCCTGCAGTGGAGAGCAAGAGAGCAGCCTCGGGAGACCAAGGCTGCTCCTCCTGCCACAGGAGATCTACCCACTAGGTGATGGCAGGGACCTGGGATCAGAACATATTGCACTTAGAACTTCTCACTGAATGACCAAGCCTCAGGACGTTCCTGCAGGTCCAGGACTAGGAGAATCACAACCATACTTAGAAGACTTTAATTCCAATTTTCTTCAGGTTTGTGACTGCTCACTTTTGCAATGTTATGCATAGGACCTTACCCCATCCTATTAAAATCTCACAAAAGAAATACACAAAGAAAAAAACAATGGATTGTTACAGAGTGAAGATCACAGTGATGTCACGGAGGCCAAGCAGGAAACCAAGCGCTGACAACACGTCTTCTGCCTCGTCACAGATGCACACTGTTAGAGGAACCAAAGCAGAGACACTCAGGCCACTGGCTTCATGACCAAGCAAGAAAGCGGTGTTGCAATGCCTTGATCCGGAGATAACCTCAGGGAGGAGAAGACAATACAGACATCACATGCTCTGCATCCTGAACCAGGAAATCTAAGGGACAGCTGTTCATTTCACCAGCTCAGCACTCTTGTTACTTGTCCTAGCCAGGAGGCTGAGACTCTTCTTGGGGGAGCCTGGGGGAGTCTGTTCTTAAGGGCTCCAGAGGGCCAGGCTGCCCCAGGGCAGGTCAAGCAGCTCCCCAAGGAGGCTACATCCAGCCTTAGCCTTCTCACAACTCAGGTCAGGTCCCCCTTGAACTAGGAATTTTCTTAGACTATTTTGAAATGGATTCTGTCCCTTGCAACTGAGAATCTCCATCTAACAGATAGTCACTTTGTCAGGGAACTGGTTTGGTTAGGCAGGAAGGGAAAAAGTAGACAAACTACTAATTTGACAGTTTTGCCACTGAAGCACCTTTTGTCTTTTTAGCTGCCCGATCCAATGTAAAAAAATAAAAAGCATCTTTTTTTTTTTAATAAAAAGCATCTTAATTTAAAAAATTATTTTTGCAGTATTGGGGATTGAACCCAGGGCCTTTACATTGAGCTATAGGCCTAATCCTTTCTAATTTTATTTTGAGACAGTGTTTCAGTAAGTTGCTAAGTTGCCTAGGGTGGGAACAAACTCATGATCCTCCTGCCTCAGCCTCCTTAGAGTGCTGGAATTCTGCATGTGCACCATGATGTCTGGCTACCTCAAAATGTTTTTACTTGCACTTGCTGAAGCATTCTCACCTTTCTGTGGAGGGAGGACCTTTACATTGAGCTATAGGCCTAATCCTTTCTAATTTTATTTTGAGACAGTGTTTCAGTAAGTTGCTAAGTTGCCTAGGGTGGGAACAAACTCATGATCCTCCTGCCTCAGCCTCCTTAGAGTGCTGGAATTCTGCATGTGCACCATGATGTCTGGCTATCTTAAAATGTTTTTACTTGCACTTGCTGAAGCATTCTCACCTTTCTGTGGTGGGAGGCAATGACAGAGAGTTGCCCTGTAGTTCATCCTGAAAATGGCTCATCACGTTAGAAAAACTAATCATCTTCTTATGAGAACTAATCCAAAAGGAGAAAAAAAAAAAATCACAGAGTATCCAAAATTCACTGATCCTTGGCTATGTTTTGTTTTTGAGACAAGGCCACCCTATATAGCCCAGGCTGGCCCTAAACTAACTATGCAGCACAGGCTGGCCTTGAATTTGTGGTGATCTTCCTGCCTCAGCCTCCCAGGTGATGGGATTACAGGTGTACACTACCACTCCAGGATCTTTGGCTGTTTTTGTACAGGTGAAAGCAATCATATGTTCAAAGACAGCCATGACGCTGGTTAAGAACTTGTCAAAAATGTCAAAAGAGAGTTAGAAGTACTGAGATACAGGGCTGAACATGGACAGAATATTTACATATTAGATTCAGCAATGTTGTTACCAGTGTTAGGAAAAATAAAATTTCATTCTCCCCAGGGACTGGGGTAACAAGAATTGGATATAACTACTAAACCACAAAGTTTAATGCAACCAATGAGATTTATACTCTGCCAGATCAGAGTAAATGTCACAGTCACCCCACTGTCGTCACTGAATGTTTATGTCCATTATCATTTGTCAAAAACAAACAAACAAACAAACAAAAGCATAGACCATCAGGAAGCTAAGTAACGCACTCAAAGATACACAGCTCTGTGTGCTGCCAAGCAAGCCTCATTTAGGAAGGCCTTTCTCAGGCCAAGTTTATAAACATGTTTTTCATATTAGATCTGTCCTTAACCCATCTGGAATTCATATCTTCCAAGCATGTATCCAGTCAATTATCCCCAATAAGCATTTATTAAATTGCTTATTATTTTCCCTACTAGTGTGAAATATCATTTTTATCATATCTTTCATTCTCATATGTATCAGTTTCTATATTCTTCCAGTCTCACATTAGAACTGACATGTCAAATTAATTAATCCAACCAGTCAGTTAAATATAAATAGAAAATAACACTTTAACTTGTTTATTTGGGTATTCAAATCATATTGTTATAATTATCATAGCTCTTTAGCATGATTTAATATCTGATAGGGTAAGTACTCACATTTTTGCTCTTGTTATATTGCCTTGGGTCCTTTTGTACACTTCCCTTCCAGTCCGGTGGGCTGTTTGTAAGATTGAATGAATACATGTAGAACATGTAGAACTGAGCATGGCACTCAGTTGACACTCAATATGTCAGATACTCAGTGCTCTGACTTGGAACCTAGATAGCCCCCAAGGGCGCATATGTTAAAGTTTGGTTGATCCCAGCTTGATGCTCCTGGGAGGTGGGCAGTGGACTCATTGAGAGGCGGAGCCTAGAGAGAGGTCCTCAGGTCATTGGACCTGAGGTCATTGGCCTTGAGTGGAAGGGTGGTGCACCAGATCCTTCATCTTTCTGTCTCTGACTTCCTGGCCATAAGGTGATTGTTTTTTTTCTGCCACTTGCTTCTGCCATGCTGTGCTGCCTCACCAGGCACAAAAGCAACAGGGCTGATCAATTACGAACTGAAACCTTCCAGACTGTGAGTTGGAACAAACCTTTTCTCTTTAGAAGTCAGTGATTTCAGCTATTTGTTATAATGATGGAAAGCTGAGGAACACTTAGGGTAAATATGAAAAGTTTCTTTGTCTTCTTCCTTACCTCCTCTCCAAGGAAATGGTCACACTTCTCCACTCCCATTCTGGAGTCTGGAACACTTCTGGTTTAATGACTTCTTTGTTTCTTCCTGAGAGTGAATCATATTTCATTGTACATGTGTACCATTTTTTTTTTTTAACCATTCATTGTTTGAAAGATATTTGGGTTGTTTCTACCTCTGACCTATTGTTAATAATGCTCTTATGAACATTGGTGTATAACCTAACAAGTTTTGATGTGTTATATTTTCACTATCATTATGTCCAAAATGTTACATAATTTCTATTGTGATTTCTACTTTAGTTCATAGGTGGCTTAGAATTATATTGTTTAGCATTCATACATTTTGGATTTTCTGTATCTTTCTGACACTTATTGCTGATTTAATTATGCCTAATCACAGAGCATATGGAATGATTTCAATCCTCTGAAAACTGTTGAGAGTTGCTGCAAACTAATATATGATCTTTATTTTTTTAATTGTTTTTTTTTTCTCTTTCCCTTTTCTGGTTTTTTGACACAGCCTCAATATGCAGCTTAGGCTGGCTTTGAACTCACTATGTACATAGCCCAGGCTGCCCTCAAACACATGGTGATCCTCCTGCCTTAGCCTCCTAAGTGCTAGGATTTTAGGCATGCACCACCACACTTGCTTTATCTGTGTTTCATTTTATAACAAAGTCTCACTATGTAGCCTAGGCTGGCCTTGAATTCAGCCACCTGAGTACTGTGATTACAGGTGTGTGCCACCACACTGCATTTTGTTTGGTCTGTTTATTATAAATATTCTCTGTGTATTTAACAGACTGTTTACTATGTCTTTTTTGTTTTGTTTTGTTTTTTTTTCCAGTACTGGGAGTCAAACTTATGACCTTGTGCTTGCCAGGCAAGCACTGTGCCACTGAGCTAAATCCCCAGCCCCTATGTCATTTTTTTGATGGAGTATTTTATATGTATCAGCTATATCAAGTGTGATACTTGAGTTGTTTATATGTCCGCTTGTTCTATTATTAATTATGATTATAGATTTAAAAAACAAACAAAGAGTCTCTGCCATTGGTGCACCCATGCCAGACAGGAGTTCCTTACTCAGTAGGTCTGGGAACTGCTCTCACAGGGGTTCACATGTGGGCCCTCTCTGCACATGCCCTGTGCCAAGTGAGCAGGCACTCCAAGAGCTGCTGATACCACAGTTCGAGTCTGTGCTTTACTTGCACCCTGACTTCCTGGAGGGCACAGACATGGACAGTCTGTGTTTGCTGTTGGTGCGGCCGGCATCTGGCTCCTGTACATGTCCTGAACTGACTGGAGACACAGAACCAGGTGGTCCACAAACTGTTGACCCTGCAGTTTGTGTCTGGGTTTTGCCTATACCCTGAACTGCCTGGGGACACAGGTCCACTGGGCAGAGATTGTCACACAAGT